GGTGGGTGGATGGATGGATGATGGATGGATGATGGATGGTGGATGGATGGATGGATGGATGGTGGATGGATGGATGATGGATGGATGATGGATGATGGATGATGGATGATGGATGGATGATGGATGATGGATGGATGGATGGATGGATGATAGAACTAGGAGTGGCAGGGAGCCAGGAATGAAAGCCAGGTGAAAGCTCTCAGAGCCGAGGGAGCAGCAGAGACGAGGGACCCCGGGGCCCGCCCATGATGATGGATGGATAATGGATGATGGATGGATGATGGATGGATGGACGGATGATAGAACTAGGAGTGGCAAGGAGCCAGGAATGAAAGCCAGGTGAAAGTTCTCAGAGCCGAGGGAGCAGCAAAGACGAGGGACCCCGGGGCCCGCCCGCCACGCCCAGGTGGAGCCTGACCTTGAGGTCCAGGTGCAGGATGTAGTGCTGATGGAGGTAGTGCACGCCCTCGCAGATCTGCTTGGTGAACAAGATCACGTCCAGTTCGGTCAGGTGGTACTTCTCATCCGTGATCCGGTCAAAGAGTTCTCCCCCGTCCACGCTGCCAGGGCAAAGGGAGAGGCAGGCACCGACTGAGCGAGGCTCTCAGAGACCTCGCCTGCCCTCAGCACCAACCCAGGGGTGAGCCCGAGGGTGCCGCTGTCATCTGGGGACTCGTGGGGGCCTCTGCTCTGGCCCCGCCCCAGCCCAGGGTGCAGGCGGCCACGGGGGAGCTGGGCTTCCTTAGTGTGGACAGTCGGGCTCACGCCGGATGCCGCAGGCCAAGGCTGTAACCTCCTCTGCCTACGGGGGCCCATTAGTGCCTACAAGGGAGAACCCCAAATGGGCAATCAGCCCCCTTCCAGCCAGAGGCACAGGCCCAGCAGCACCAGATCTGCCAGAACAGCCAGAGCCCGGCCGTGTGCTCAGTGGTTGGGCACTGTCCCTGGCACCAAAAGGTCGCAGGTTCGATTCCCGGTCAGGGCACATGCTTGGGTTGTGGGCTCCACCCCCAGTAAGGAGTGTGCAGGAGGCAGCTGATCGATGTCTCTCACATCGATGTTTCTCGGACACTCACCACTCCATGACCAGCGTGCAGCCCCCACGGGCACTCACCACTCCATGACCAGCGCCACTGCTCACATCGATGTTTCTCTCCCTCTCCCTTCCTCCCTCTCTCTCCAAAATCAATTTTCAAAAAATATTTTTAAAAGAAAAGCCGTATACTGAGGTTTTAGTGTGAAATTTCCCAATTTCCAACTGCTACCAACCAAATCAAAATCACTAAAACTTGTGCCAGCCAAACTGACCTACACTGATGGTCAAGTCAGGCTCATTTGTGACCAATGGCCTTGTCCTCCACGCTCCAGCCTGGAGGTCCAGCAGAGGAGGTGACGACGTGTCTGGGTGTCC